CAGCGACAACCAACGTACCCGTTGACGACGAGAAGGCCGGCTCGTCCGCTACGGCCACGCCGCCCGAGGATACCCTGCACTTCCTCAACCACGAGCACGACACCGTCGCCTCTCTGTCGCTGCGCTACGGCGTACCCGCCGCTGTCCTCCGCCGCGCCAACAACATCACGAGTGACCACCTCCTGCAGGGCCGCAGGACGGTGCTGATCCCGGGGGAGTACTACGCCGCCGGCATCAGCCTGTCGCCGCGGCCGATCGAGGGCGAGGAAGAGGAGCTGCGCAAGAGCAAGATCCGGCGGTTCATGACCGGGTGCAAGGTTTCCGACTACGACGTTGCCGTGCTGTATCTCGAGCAGGCCGGGTATGACCTCGAGGAAGCCATGGAGGCGTTTGCTGCGGACGAGGTGTGGGAGAGGGACCACCCGGTGCAAGAGCGGGGTCGACGTGGGAAGGATAAGAGTGCGCCCAAGAACCGGGGGCCGTTCTGGAGGGGGTCCGCGTGAGGCTGCGAGGATTGATGGATTCACACGAAATTGGCAGGCGTTTTTGGGGGATTGGTATTATTAGAACTCTTGTTCATTGCATCGTCATCATGTCCTGTACCACCCAACGGCTCTTTGGCCTGTATGAAACGCCGCTAACATATACCTTACGCTTTGTACAATACACGTAACAATTGATGTCTCCTTCCCAGAAATGGATGGTGATAACCACCACTTATAAGCCTCCTCAAAAGGCGGAACGTGTTCTAATGTCTGAAATCTTCCTCTCAATCTCCCGCACGGACCGGTCCAGCTCGCCGGCAATCATCAGCTTCTTGTCATTAGGCAGGAGTGTGTATCTCTCGCAGAGGTCGCCATCAATGACGCCCTTGACCGGTACGTAGTAACCGCGGTACATGAGGTGGTCTCTGCCTGCGAGTGGCGCGTCTTCGGTGCGCATATGCTGCTCGAGGTTCTGGAAGAAATCGACATCCTCGCGGGTGACGAAGGGAATGAAGACGCCAATGGTTCCGTTGATACCGCTCCAAAGGAGAACGTCCTGGCCACCAACGACGAGACTAGTCTTTGTGATACTTGTGGGCACGTCTTGGGTGTAGGAGTGGCTGAGAAGGTTGAGACGGTGAGGTGTGCCGTGGAGATAGTCCCTGGTGTTCAGCAGGTGCAAACCAGCCTGCTCCTCGTCGGCTTCTTGGCTCGCCTTCTCTGGACAACGAACGAGGAATATGTTGCCGAACTTGTCTCCTCCGGCGACCGACTCGTAGTCTACCATGGTTGTGCAGGTGACCCATCTCGCGATTGTGTCGTCGACGAATGGGATGAGCTTGTTGGTGGTGGGCTTATAGACGACGTAGGTGACACCGTGTTGTACGTCACCCACGACGATGCGACTGCCTTGTGTGCTCAGAGACACAATCAACTGCGGCGCTACATCTGCTTGTGATTTTCTGAGCATCTGTCGTAGACCCAGGTCGTATATCCTAAGAGTCTTGCCGACACCAGCAAGCAGTCTGCCCTGGAAGGCCAGGAGAGCCGTGGGAGGCTCCTCAACCTTAGTTTTGTGGATAAATTCCAGCTCATGGCCGTCTTCGCCAAAGCGGTATACGTGTATGTATCCTTCCGTGAACTGTCGTGGGTTGACAATCATGTCTTTCCCTGTGCCAACGATCAGGAAGTTTTCATTGTCCTGGCTGGCAAAAGAGACAATCGCAGCGCTGACCGCAGCTTCATTGTTGTCGAGATCAACGGTCTGCAGTACTCGTTGCTCTTCCGACAATGGGTCAATGACACTGATGCAGGATGCCCAGCGACCTTTGCCCTTGGGATATCCGAACTCATCAGGCGGGAGAACAGTCGCGTCGCCGTTCACCACTCCAGGCTCCGCGATGAGCTTGGCCCTGAGATCGGGAGGCAGTGTGTTGTTGTCTGATTCAACAGTGTAGAACATGGGGTGATCGGGATGCTTTAGAAGACGCCTTGGAGTATAGGTCAAGGGTATCGACTTTTGTGTGATTGTGTCTCCGAGGTTCTCGATGGCGAAAATCCTGATTCTTGTCAGAGGCGGGCCACGAAGTGAATATTCGAAAGATGCCAATGAAAGAAGAACCTTCAGTAGGAACAATTGGTAAAAAATGCGTAAGACCTCACTGCACTTTGGCGTAGGAATCCAATTCTCATCATGGTAAGGGAAAAAAGCGAAAGAGAAAGAATGCTTACCTCAAGGACTGGCCCTGAATGCCAACAACACCTTCCTCGCATTGCTCACTGCTGAAGTTCCATACCCATTCCAGGTCCACGTAGTTGAGGGGAGTGACCACGAAACCTCTAGTGATAGGGTCGGAGTACCCAAGCCATGGACGTGAGCTCAATCCTATCACACACGTTCGACCTTGAACGGTGACTTGGAAGAGTCGCACGGGCTTGGGGCCCAGGAACTTTTGCCGGGTATCTGTCAACTCTCCAGTAACCTCATCTAGCACCGTCCGCAGATAGACACCAGAGTGAAGTCCGATATGGAGGTACAGGGTTGAGCCGCCAGAAGAAGAGTCATCCATGGCAATAATAGCCAGGGATGAAGGAGGAGCAGTCAAGGCTTGCACCGATTTGCTCTCAAGGGTCGAATCGGGATCCAGAGACAAAACACGAACCGTGCTGTCGTCACAACCCACTGCAAGGAACGAGCTTCTCAGACGTCCTTCCGGAACCTCTCCCAAGCTAAGGCAGGTGACGGTACCGAACATTTCTTTCTTCTCGTCGTACTCTGCCAAAGATCCATCGCCATCCATCTCAAAGTACACAATCTCACCGGAGCTCAGAGCCACAGCAACTTGGTGTTCGTTGGTCGTGGCAGCAACGATGGATCGATGCTGAGGGGCTGCCCACTCGTTGATCTGGCCGTGGCGGATGTGACGGATACCCTTGGGATGGACCTGAATAAGACCGTCCTCGCCAAGCAGTTGCGCTGCCAGCGTGGGCACCGAGGTCAGGAATCCCGAGTCGCTAACCTCCTCGACGGTCTCGCCGATGCTTAACACAAGGGTTCCGTTCGTAAAGGACAGCACAATATAGGCATCGTACTGATCGCCACGGCTCAGCTTGAGTGTCCACACGGCTGAAGGAATACCGGGCAGCTCAGAGGCAACGATCTCATTTACCTCCAGACCGTGCTTCAACATCCTGAATGTGCTGCGAGCGCCGTTTCCACATGCTGTGTAAATTTGAGGCGCATCCTCGCCAGTCAGGTTTGCGACCTTGCAGTCGAGGAGGGGGTTCATTGAGTCGATGCTCTCTACCAGAGCCAGGTTTTCGAGTGGCCTGGGGTAGAAATACACTGCATCGTAACCAGCCTTGGGGTCGGCTGGGAAGTCGTCGCTCGAGAATTCCTTCTCTTCGTCATCGTCTCCAAGCTTCTCAAACTGGTAGAACTGGTGGTTGCCAAACTGACTAGCCGCATACAAGAAACCGCTCTTGAGAATACACAGACTAGACGACACCGGCACAGTATCAAAGTATTTGATCTTGAGTCTCTTAACCTCGCCGGTAGGATTGCCGTCTGCGTCCTCAACCATATCGATTACAGCTTTGAACAAATCACCGTCTTCCGTCTGAAGCAGGAAGAAGAAGGCTCCAGCACTGCCCTTGAGCTTGTGCATTACACCAGAAACGATGTGGCGTTTCCTTGAAGGATCTTCCGTAGCGCCACGTCTCCGTGGTATCGGTACGCGGAAGGCTTCTTGGTTTGAATGACGGTATGTGATGTTCTCCTCTCCGCACACCAAGACACCGCTAGGGCCATCTTGACCACCAGGAACTTGGAAGAGTAGAGATGCTGTCGGGTCGACAGGCTCGGACCACTTTCGGACAACATGGTTGAGTCCCAGGTCCAACTCATAGTACACCAGCTGAGTCTCGGCTTCGCGAGCGGCCTCTCCCGTGGGATCTTGGTCTGCCTCCGTGTACTCTATCTCCAGTGCAGCAAAGACGGGGTTCGCGTAGCCAACATCGAGCGCAACCATGGACAACACCAAGACACCAGGCTTATGCGCCTCCAGGGGCGAGGAGATGGTGAGTTCGGCTTGAGCGTTTCGGTTCAGAACATAGACAAGTTTATTCTTTTCGACCGAGGCGATGAGACAAGCTCTGCCCTTGGGATCGCAAGCGAGGTACTCTCCGGGAATCACGCGTCGTACTCCAGACTTTCCAAAGGTCTCTAGATGCAGCCGTTGGAATCGGTTCTGCGCGGGGATGTACTCGACGATTGTGATCCTTCCAGAGTCAGTCGCAAGAATGAGATAGTCTTTGACACGAGGTCAGCATAGTTTCGATACGATCAAGTATCGCCAGCACTGAGCGACAATGGCTTCAGTGACACGCGTCGCGACTGGCAAGCTTCTCGAATCACTAAGTGAAGCTTCAAATGGAACGAGGAACAAAACTTACCTTTGTTGCTTCCTGCCAGCCGGAAGGCGGCCATGGACCGAATAATGCCAAAAATATCGTGCGAAAGCAGCGTAATGACCTTGCCCTGGGACGGGTCGGGTCGGAGGAGCGTCAAGCGCGATCCAGACGCCGTGACGATGTTCTGCTCCTTCGTCCCGGAGAACTGACCCAACACCGCCAAAGTGACATTGGTTGGCGGCTGAAGGGTCAGGGAGTAAAGAAACATGTTCGAGGTCGTCGCCATGTTTGCAGGTGGGCGCAGAAAGCCTGCGCGGCCGCAAAATTCGAGCTCGACTGGATGATGAGACACGACGCGGTGGTGTTTTGAAGTAAAGGTGGGCTAGGAGGCTGGAGAGCTCCAGTACAAAATTTCAGAAGCTCTAGGTTCCCACTTGGCAACTGCTCGAAACGAGGTTCGGTGGAGACCCACCTCCGGCACCTAGTTGATCCGGGCCACCCAAAATTTCGGGTCAACCCACCGCGGGCAGAGCTCTGGGACGCATACACTGGTCATAGCCATTATCGACGCACGCCGCATCTCACAGTTCGGTGTTGGCAAAGATGGAGCCGGCATTGCGACGAGCAGCCTCCAGCGTCTGCGGACAATGTTCCGCGACATTGAGGAGGCAATTGGTCTCCAACAGCGGTGTCAGAACCGTTTCCAGAATCGCATCAGCCCACTCGACGAGGGGTCTACATTCCACCGTTCCGAGGAAATCAAAGGCGAATAATGCGACGAGGCAATTCTCTTCAACGACCAAAGTCTCTAGCGAGGCAGCGGCTGCTAAGCCCGCGAGCACCGAGACGGCAACCCGGAAGCTTCGTTCGGACGATCTTTTCCACTCCTTCACGAATTCGCCCATTCCCGAGATCCGGCGTCGAGCGGCCTTCATGAGACAACATGCGTACTGCCCGCACCCAGACCACAGAGCAACTCGCGTACCCACGATTGCACCGCAGGGCGAGGAGCACACACATCAGACTGGAAACCTTGCGCCGGCGCATGTTGACTTCGAATGCCCCGACTGTGGAGTTCCTGTTTACTGCGGCAAGGAGCACTGGATGGATAATTACGAGGCACACCTTGAGATCTGCGATACTTTGAAGGAGATCAATGAGGATGACCATGATCTGCGGTCTGGCCGTGCTTTCCCAGAGTTCGTCATGGCCGACGACCAAATGCCGGAGGCCGTTGTCAACATGACCAACTGGGATACGTTCATGTACAGCCGAGAGTTCGAGGCTATCAACGACGAGCGTAGCATGAGGCAGGTCACGAAGATGCTTACGTACCCCATTACTATTGGCAGCATTCTGCATGAGCTTAGCCCGTACAGCGTAAAGCAGGGCGAAAGGCTCACAAGCGAGGGTTTGAAGAGTTTGAGTGGTAGGTCCTTCGTCGCGAAGCTTGTGATATCAAGAAGCTCATGAGTGAACAGCTTTGCGTTATACACTTCACCCCCCTCTTTCAGGAAAGGGAACAGATATGAAGGACCTTCGTCCTGAGGCGCCGCCTGTGAGAGTGTTCTGCTTGGGCGCTCGCGCCGAGTCGTCGCTTCCGAGAAACGTCTGGCTTCAGCTGGCGCATCTATTCCCCGAGAGCAAGATTCACCTCATTTTCATCGGCCCTGAAAGTATGGCGAACAGGGATGACGAATTCCCGCTACCCCCCAGAACACCCGAGAACCCTTTCGGCATGGTGATTGAAGACCGGATATCTCACAAGCTGAAGATCAGCACTATTGTGGACTACTATCATACGATCCACAAGACGGGATACTTTGCGCCATATGACCCATACTTTGACTGCTTCTGCCTTTTCCACCCCGGCCTGGGTCACCCGGCGAGCAGCCATGAATGGTCCGAGACTCTGCCGATGCTTCTTGAGACGAAGCTTCCCATCATTGCCACGGGATACACCCAGTTCGACATGGAGAGAGACATTGAGTGGGTTCGTAAGACTGCCGCTGGCGAGTTCGATATCCTTTTGGAGCCCGGCGAGAACCGTTTCCGCAGTCTGAGGTGGGATCTCAACGACCTCGACCCTCAGGACGTCAGCTGCGGAAACTGGGGAGTCTGGGCATTCCGTGGAAAGAGGTATGTTGTACAACGGCATGGTCTTGAACATTAGTACTGACTCAAGCAGGTATGAAACGGCGACCAAGGATCTCTGAGTGGCCTGGAGGATACTGGTAATGATTCTAGGCCGTGCATAGAGAGGCGTTGTAAATAAGTGTACTATACTGCTCACGACACGTGCATTGTACAACAGGAGACGGGGAGAAAAGGAGGGGAAAAAACCAAGCCGACTCTACTGCATTCCACACGCTTTCTTGACCCTGTGAAATTATGAGTCTAGACGTTGTCGTTTGAGTAGCATCCAGAGGTGCCATGAACGCATCGATGAGAGGCAGCAAATTTGCCGTCAACTTTTCCCAAGTCGCATGTATATACCGATGCCAAGGTAATGATCGCTTCTAGAAGAATTCTGTCTTGTGCCTGTTAGACAAACCGGTGCCAGCGGCGTTCCTTTGCAGACGCAGCTTCCTCAGCTATTGTTACCTAGCTTAGGTAGGTTGCCTTATGTAAGGTCCGGGCGCCGTCCTGCAGCGCACGGGGTCACAGCTGCGGGAGGTTGAGCCGCTTTGCACCTGCAACGGCAGACCAGCATTCCCTGTAATTAACCTGGGAGCCGGGGGCAGGTCCCCAGTCCCGTCGTCACTTCACCTTAATCCGTCACAGCACAGGTCAGCGTCGTCCGAAATCTAGCTGGCTGCAAGTCAAAGTCGACGACAACCCCTCCTCGCCAACTCCTCTGTGCTGGTGGCGTGCGCCCGGTCGCCCTTGATACCAAGTCATACCATGAGACTGCGGCTTTACAGACGTTAGACGGCCATGACAGCTGTCGCTACTCCTCGCGCACCCACGCCGCGCCCGAAAGCCCCCGCAACAGTCAGTTTCGCGAACGACATCACCTCCTTTGCCCCGACACCCTCGACCCCCGCTACCGAACGTCTCCGTCCGCAGTTGCAGAGCAATCCTTCCGCTCGCCGATCAATTCGCGCAGCCCCTGCCGACTTCCTCTCCGACAGGGCCACTGCCGCCTTCATCCGTCGTGTCCTATGTTCCCAACAGCTCTCCGATAAGGAGAGAACCACTCCGCCCCCGATCGAGGAGCTACTGCCGCCCCTGACAAGTCGAAACGACGTCGACCTTCAGCTTTACGCCCTGATTGCTGTCATTTTGAGGGAATACGTACAGGCCTGGTACAGCAAGATCACACCAGATGAGGCCTTTGTCGACGAGATTGTCCAGATCATAGCCCATTGTACCAGAGCTCTGGAACAACGGCTACGGAAGGTCGATCTAGAAAGCTTGCTCTTCGACGAGCTTCCCGACTTGCTGGACAAACATATCGTCGGTAAGCTTGCTCTTTGTTCGCTCGTTTCCACATGAACTAACACCACCTTTCAGCCTATCGCGCAGCGCATGACCCCGTATGTAGGCCTCCAACGGAGATAGACCCTCGAGAAGTTTACCACGCACTTTGTCCAGTGGCGCCCTTGTCACCAATACCACGGCCAGACCAACCAGAGACCGTTGCGAAGCAGCAAGAGAACGAGGCAATCTACCGCCAATTGTTGGTACAAGGCGTTTTAGCCGTACTGCTGCCAACCGAAGACCTTGAAAACGACTGCCTAACCTCCTTGGTCGGTCAAATCTTCTCTGAGCTCATCATTGGCAATGTCTTGGCCAATCGGCTCTCTCAACCATGGCTTATTTACGAATGCCTGATTATTCTCACGAGAGTCCTTGAACGGAAATCCGAACCCATTGAGGAAGATGTTGCAGAGGCGGTGCAGGCCGGGTCAGCGGCTCCTCTACCTAGACCGGCTCGCCGCAGCTGGTCAATCCAAGGGGTGTTCTGGTCTTTCGTACACTGGTGTTTTCTGTCATTTGCAATGATACGCCTGCTTGTCAGCACTCTCGCCATGTCTTCATCCTTGCCTCCAAGAGCAGATGTTGCCTACGATGAGAAACACGAGTTGACGGGTCAGTTATCAGACTCAAAGACACCTGATGCGCTCACGGGCTTGGACGAAGCACAGCCAGTGAAGACTCCCATCTTCGCCTTCAAGCTGTGGACCTGCATATCCGACCTGATCGAATTGGACGCCCGCATGCCTTGGTTGAGCGGAACGCTCTCGATGCTTCAGCTCGGAGCTATGAAAGGTCCAGGCCGGGTCGCCGCCCTAAACGGACCCATGGACAGGTAGGCATCCATCATCTTCCTCCTCCCTCCCTTTCCAGACGAACTCACGTCACACCGCATGAGTTTCAAGTCACTTGACCTGGCTTCGCTCCAGTGAGCAGACGGAAACGCTCAGTCGAGCAAGTGCAAGATGAGAGCTGCTTCAGTAATTGCCTAGTGGGCTGCTGAGAAGGCACATTCGGCGATGGACTTGATACAAGCTGTAACGACACGGTTCGGGGTGCGCGCAGTGAAGGGGTCGAGTCCTTTGGAATGCTGCGCGAAAAAAGCCGAAATATGCTGTGCGACACCCCCCACCCGGCCCATTCTGCGACCCAACCCAGACTTGACCTCCTACCCCGATTTCTCGAGACTACGGTCGTACTTGCAGGACCTCATGGGCGCCAGCCAATCGCAGAGGGAATCGACGTTGCTCGCCTCCGATTTGCTTGATAGGTTGTCGCGGGGCTGCGCTTCCATCCACCAGGAAGCCTCATTTACGCGCCCAGCTCCAACAACGAGCACCGACTTACAAGGGTCTGGTCACCACCGTCATCTCCTTCATCCACGCACACCTACGGAGACCCGGCACTCAGTCACTCAACCGTCACGCCCTTCGCTTCCCGTCGCCCCACCGCATCCGCCTGCCAGAAACTCCGTCAGAAGTCGGTACACGGGTTGGCATCATTCTTGCTGCTGGTGACGGGGCCGCCTTCACTAGCAGTATCATCATGGGGCTCCCCACGGGCTTCGTCAATGGCCGCCTGTTAGTGCACCTCGTTTGCTGAAGCGTCACGCAGCCACTGACTCGATCCGTCCCGTGAGGCAGGCTAGCAGCTTGCTCTCTTTCAGCGGCTAGCTGTCTATCAACCGTCATCCGATTCGACAGTTGGCGACATGACGGCTGGCCCAATATGGCAAGACGAGATACGTCTCTTTGACAGCCCGAATCTTCGTCCTTGCGTGGCTTGCTACAGAGCCCTGGTTCTGGGGCCCGAAAGAATTGGACGTCACACCCTCCGACGCATGGAAAGCACACATAATTACGGGGAGAGACGGTAGCCTTGCCCGGGGAGCATCAGCAACCATTTACGGATCTTGAACGGACAGGGGAAATATTCTGCCTGCCTTGCGACACAGACGCAACCTTCGCCTCCAGCGTACCAAGCTTTTCACTTGTATCCCCTCTTTTGGCGCATGCTGCGCTACATGCGCGCGGCCCTTCCAACACTCGCTCGTCGTCAGCCGTGTCTAATCCCTGTTGAATTCGTGTTTCCTTCCCCTTAGTTGTTTCCATTCATTTCCAATGTCTTGCGCCTCACATTCTCGTTGGATTCCCCTCCCGCAGATCCTCTCACTTCACACACATTGACCCTGTAGCCCCCACGCATGAACTGCGACTGTCCGAGTCGGAAGCAAAGCCGGGACTGACATGAGAGCGCTTGCCGCGCCGCGCGCGAATTATAGGCTCATCTCGCATACCATACACCAACGGGTTCTCGACGCCGCGTACCTGCCCACCCTCCTTCGGTCCATCCGCGCCGCCCTCTTTCCCAACAACGCTCCCGGCGTCTCGACCTTGGTGGCCCCCTCCTCCGATCAGGAGCTGCGTGCCCTGCGCCGCAGGTGCGCTAGCGCGGTTCTAGCCAGAATCCCGCCGTGGCTGGCTAGGCTCTACCTGGGCGGGCGAGGCCTTGGCCTCCGGTGGCGGTCCGGTCCGGACTCTAGAGCAACAGGAGCAGCAGCAGAAGCTGGGGCTAGCGGGGATGACACCGCCGCGGCCGGTGGTGCTGGTTCTGCTCCTGGCAGCAGCAGGTATGCCAACGTCGAGGCGGTCGCCACCGGCACTAGCGACTGCGATAGTTCAGGTGACGAGAACGGCACAAAGTCGCAGCCTCCTGAAGACGATGAGGATCAGCAGCAGATGCTGTCCGAGATTGAGGAGGGCATCCTCAACGTCTTCTCGGACGAATACTGCAACAAGCACTTTGTGTATGGCATATTGGAGTTGATCTTGGTGAGACTGATGCCCGAGCTGGCGGAGAAGGGGGTGGTTGAGCTGTGGGAGGAACGATTGAGCCTATGAGCTTCGTGTGCTGCCATGCATTTCTTTTTGGTGCTTCGCCTTGATCCCCGTTTAGTCTAGATACCCTTCTGCCAAGATAATGAAGTGTTTTGATTCCACGATGTTCGCAATGTTCAACGATGTTCACGATCATGACCGCCACATGTTACACAGAATGCCATTCCAAGTCTCACATCACACCGTTTACACGCCATATTGCTTTTCCAGTGTACATCGGTTTCCAGAAGCGAATCTGAGTTACACACACAAGACAATATCACGGAAGGTGGGCGAGGATTATCCCCATTGCAACACCAATGCTCGCTCGTATACATCACGATAGTCTTCTCCTTGCACTGGTTGGGTTGTGAACCTTCCCAAACGTCACGGCCATCTCTTTGTCAACGCATTCGTCGAGGGAGAAACGATGTTTTTTGTAATTTCTGTAGACCAGTCGTAGAGGGGACAAAAAAAGGGGCTAATGCCTAGAAATAAATGCAAAAGGGGCCGCCCGTTTTTTTTCTTGTCTTTCGGATTTCGCGCATACTCTGGCCGGGGTAACGCGAGTCTTCTTTGGTTTGGCTGCTTTGGTTGTTGTTTTCGTAGCCAAGGAGGCCTCAGTTTCCTGACCTCAGACTCGGGAGGTGGAGTGCCTTTCCACCTCTCTCCGTCGTCTCCCCATCATCCTCTGGCCTCCCTTGCTCTGTACAGGTCTCCTGCCATTTGTTTTCTCGGTTTCCCTCTCCTGTCAGAAAATCGTTCAGATATCGTCCGATTGTCCGATTATGTGATGTCCATAGATGATGTCCGTAGATGATGAAGTGATGATCCCTTGAGGGCTCCCGTGTTCCCTTCTCCCAATGCCTGGCTACCCCAGCCAATCTCCCTGACCTAATCCCAAACCCCCTTATCTCGCAATGCAGCTGCGTCTGAGGAAACCCGGGAAATAATACAGTGGCGAGTTCGTTTGCGAATCGTCGATATAGCGAAGGAAAGAAAACAAGGAAAGGGGCAGATAACAGAGCGCTTGGAAACGGTGTGCTGAGTGACGGAAAAAAAAAAAAAAAAGAGATAGATACTGAAATAAACCAAGAACAAGTATTTGCAAAGGTCGCGCAAGGTGGGAATTTTCGGTGTTCGCGTGAGCGGCAAGGTCTTTTCCTTGATGAGCGGCGGATAAGGATGCGAAATTGGGGTATATAGAATATGTTGAAGTTTGGAGTGAATGGTTCTCCCATGACCTCGTCTTTTGCTAATCTTGTCCCCTGGCTCTGTAATGATAAGGTATATTGTGTCCATATTTCGATGTCGTGAGACTGGGGGCCGGGGATGGAAGACGCTCAACATGTCGATCATGGGAGTGATGTGGCTGTCGCGAGACATTGACCGTGTAGGTAAAGCCGATGATGTTTTCGAAACCGTAACCCGATCCCGGCGAGTGTGAGCCGTTCTTTGCAGAACCCTCGCCGGGTCTAGGGGTTTGTGGGACCATGATGATGGTCGCTGTTCTGTTGATACGCACGCGTTAATCGCGTGGCTTCGTCCCTGTACCTTACCCCGTCCATGCCCAGGCCCAAAACAAAAGCAAGACATAACGCCTGAGCAAACGATGGAGTGCTCGCTGGGAAGAAAAGATCGCGGGCCTTTACTGGGTCAAGACTGCCTCCGGCTTGACTTCAAAAGACATGTGGTTCGGGTGATGGGTAAGAGTTTCAGTGTCGCCCTCGGGAATCCGATCCAGGCCGCCCACCGAAGATTTGGCAGCATGTTGCGGATTTACTCGAAGTTTCTCCGTCAGCTTGAGCAGGCCCTGGTAGTCCTTCTGGTCGACCAAGCCGCTCGCAGCTGTGCTGGAGAAAAAGCTCAGCAAAGTGTCGGCCGCTCTTCGGGCCTCCTCTTGCGTCGGGGATGTTGGAGACGAGCCTGCAGGCGTGGTCGCTGATCTGCCGGCCATGCTGCTATTGCTGCTGCTGTGATGCAGATGCGGAGACGATGTGATTGCGGTATCCAGAGCAAAGTGCGGTGCCGCCATCTCGTAGATCGGTGACTCTAGTGCAGAAGACGGGGCAGTCGATGCTGGGTGGTACTTCGGAGTCATGGGCTCAGTCGTTGCAGTCTGGTACATTGCTTCAACGTCAATGTTCGGGAACGTCTGGCTTCTGGGCCTCTGGAAGTTTGAAGCGACTCCGTGCATCTGGCGAGACGAATCAGGGGGCAAGAAAGCTCCAGCGTTGGGGTCAGGGGAGAAGGTAAAGGTTCCCGTTGGACTCAGGGCACTCCCAGAGAAGGATGAATTGGCCGCATCGGTCAAGGCACTGTTGAGAGACGTGGTGCTTTGAGAGTTGGAATGTTTGTATGCTGGACCGTCTCCGTAGCTGACAAAACCAAGACCGTGAACAACGTCTTCGTCGCTTCTGTCAGCGGACAGAGGGGACTGATGACCTGTTGGCGATGCTGGGGAGATACCAGATGCTCCTAGAGATGGAGAGCCAGAGATTTTGGCGTGGTTCGTGATGTTCGTTTCCGATGCCCTTCGCGAGAGCCTTCCTCCAGGGAGGATGTTTCTCTGTTTGAATCTTTCCAGCCACGTGGCGTTGATCGATTTCGTCTGGTTTGCTTCACCGCCGCCGTTGGTAGAGAAGTGCCTAGCCTGCTCCAGGATCTCTTCATCACCTGGAGTTAACCCTGCTTGGACCTGTTTCCTATACCAGGAGACGACGCCGCGATCAATGTCCGGGTACTTGCCTTTGGCATGGCGTCTGCCGGCGGGTGATTGACTTCTGTCCGCCTCAGGATTCAGGTACTTTTCCTTGTTTCTGAGGACCTTGGATACAGTGCTATGGAGGATGTCAGTTTGGTATTCCACGTTGCCAGTCTTGGTACCAAGGCCTACCTGCGCTCAACCCCAAACATGGCACCAATATCAGTCTGTTTGACGTTGGGGTGTTCGGCCGCGTACTGGCACATTTTCTTCCTGTCTTCATCCGTCAAGACCCTTCGCTGCTGGGGCTGGGCACCGTTGCCGTGTCTCCCCGTCCTGGCGGGCGCGGGAGGGACCACAGGAGCCATGCCCAAAGGTGGCGCCGAATAGCTGTTTGGATTCGTCAACATGCTGGGCCATGTTGGTTGAGACGGTATCATGAGCATTGGAAGCTGTGAATGGGACTGTTGATGATGCGGCTGTATCGGTTGAGGGGGCGCCGGAGGAGGAGGCATCCTGCCAATCGACTCAGACGGCAAGCCGTGAGGCATAGTAGGCATGAAGGCGCCGAACGGGCCGTAGTCTGGCATTGTGGCTTGGTGAGTGTACGAATTCATGTCGTTCCAGCTCTCATTGCCGAAGGATGTGTGGCTCTGTGACATGTGGCTGTCTTCGTCTTGAGCCATGTGGTTGTCTTGATCCATAGTGGTGGTGCCCACGATGGAGTGGTCCATTGTTTATATGACTCGGTCGAGTTCCAGGAAGAGCCAACAAGCCAACTCGACAAGGCTCCGAGCGGCAAGTGTGTTTGGCTACCTAGGTGGCCTGTAGTTGTTCAATCCAGGTTCTGGGTTGGTGATTGCGAAGAGGGGATCGCGCCGATGGCTTTGGCTTGACTGATGGGATGGCACTCGGGCCAAGCAAGTGTGGGGATGCCTGGTCCCAGCAAGCAGATATTGGCGGGTTCGACTTCATGAACGGAAGACGGCATGCATGACAGAGGAGGCCAATTGGTTCCTGGAGGCGCGGCGTGCAGGAGTGCAGGCGTGCAGGCGGTCTGCTGTGTAGGTCAAGAAGCCCTGGGCCCCGGGGGTGACTTAGATGCAAGTGCGTTGCAGGCTGCAGAAGCGTGTTGGGTTGGGAGGGGGGAAGGGACAGGAAAGGATGTCTTGTCTTGTCTTCTTGTCCGGTTGACTGCTTGCTTTGTGAATGGCTGTTGCCCGTCTGGCTTTGGGTTCGGGCTGTCTGTCTGCAGCGCCTTCTAAACGAAAAGGGCCGGTCCTTGATGCAGGTGTTGGGGGTTCGAGTTCGAGGGCGGGTGCAACGAGCAACTGCCTTTTAACGCGGTAACCACCAACCCAGTCAGTTGATCTTTTACCCTATCAGGACCCCCCGGATTCGCTCACGCCTTCTCGGTTCCGAGGGTGTTTCTTCTCTCGTGCCGCCGTCTGAACGGTGAGAAGCAGGCCGGCAATCGATTTACTGCAGGTTTGGCGGTGGTCGATTGATGTTTCAATCTGCGAGCGTCCGCAGAGAGATGGCGGTAATGAGAAAGAGACAACAGCGAGGATCAGATGAGAAGAGCGTCGATGGCAGAGGAGATAGATTCGATGTATCTACCCGGCCGGCCAGTGGAGGATAGAGGAAGACAAGCCTGACAGGTCTGGAGAGTCGAATCGGACCAGTAGGAAGAGAAGGGTAGGAAGCGGTCTCCTGCAAGAATCAGACGCCGCGACGCACAAGGCAAGGCTTGGCGGCCAGAGCTAGCAGGTCAGGGTTGGGGTAGGCGGGCTTGTCAAGATAGTAATACTGTCCTGCGCACGAAAGGATGGGAAGGTGTGCGGTGCGATGCGGTGCGGTGCGGTGCGGTGGTGGGCCGTCCTCTACTATACATATGTACCGCCGTACACTAGAGCGGATGTTTTCCATGTAAGTAGGTACACTGCCGGCAAGGGTACGGGGGTGTCTCGTCTCCTACTGGGGGTGTGGTGGGTAGGATTGAATCTAAGTCTGACTAGGGTCTTGACTTGGTGTGGCAGCGGGCCTGGTGAAGGATAAGATGGAGCTCTCTAGCCTGTGTGCGTGCACATGCATCCACAGATACATGAAGAAGCCCTCGACAAGGAGTGAAAGAAAGACGCCGAGGGGGGAAAAGGATTTGGTGACAGTCAGCAGGCTGGGCCAGTCCGATTCTTGGGGAAAAAACCTTTGGGTCGGAGGTTGAGTTGAATCGCTAGAGCCGAGATGGTTGTCAGAGCAGGAGAGTCTGGGTGGAAAAGTGGTTGCAGTTATGATAGGTCCGAAAGAGGAGGGGAGGGCGACAACAAGACTGAGGTACAGCGGACTCTTATGCATAGAACATGATGATATTGGCAAGGAACGAAAAGAACCGAGGGGTCAACGACGGCGGAGAAGAGCATCTTGCAAGCAGCGATCGAGGCAAGAGAGGCAGGTTAGGTAGGGCGGCGGTGGTGAGGCAAATGCCGTTGAAGAGAGTTCCAGAGTGTCTGTAAGTGCGCATGGCAGTTGATGAGGTTGCGTATCTCAAGGGCGAAGCAGGGTGGGCATTGAGTGTTTTCATCAATAAAGACATCATAGTCGGCTTACAATTGGTGTCTAGACCACTAACAACCGCCACGGCTAGGGAATTGAGGATGAGCTAGAAGAAGCCACTGGCTCGGTTGGTCTCCGTTGCTGCATGGGAAGAAACGACGGCGGATCTAGGAACAGTTTTGACGGGAATGGAGCAAGCCACACACAGACACTAGTTGGGATACTGGTTTGCTTCCGTCTCGTCTCGTCTCGTCTTGTTCTGTCGCGCCTCCTCTGGGGCCTGGGCTCGCCCTCGGTTGCTCTGTCATGTCTCGGCTTATCCCACGCTGAAAGGAGAACGGCCACTAAGCCAGCCCAGGCGACCAAACGGGGGAATCTAGATTCCCATGTTTCTCGCCTCGTGTTGTAAGATCACGACTGGCATAGCTGAGTCTGTCAGGTTGATGCAAGGTGACCACGGATCGGGCCACGCTGGGAGATTCTGTAGGGAAACAAGATTTTGTATGACCCAAGAGAAACGGAAACGATGGCAGGCAGGTGAGGCTGGCCTGACGGAGGAAAAAGCAAGCCAGAAAGCGAAATGTTACAGAAAACGGTTGTTTGTCTACTAATTAGCAAGGCTCAATAATCAAGAAAAGAGGGCGGCAACGGGGTTGAGGAAACGGACAAAGTGCGCGCCAATTAGCTGACATTAGTACCTGCTTCCCAGTGAGATTACCACCCACACGCACACACGGGCGTACACACTGGGAGGACGTAGACGTAGATGTAGACGGAGAGGTGGACGCATGAGCAAACGCACTGGGAGACATGTCCGTCGCGATGAGGTCGTCTTCGGAGGGGGGAAGAATCGAAGGAGACGGAGGAGGTAGTCAAGGCAGCTCTAATGACGGAGTATTTAGATCCCTGGCGTCTGGATATTGTTAGAAGATGGTGCGGCAGTGAAGATAGGGAAGCAGAGGAGGGCAAGGTACCTTTAGCAGCAGAGGCAGCGAACACATGGTGTGTGTAGGCGTGTGTGTGTGTGTGTGTGTGTGTGTGACGGGCCCTTTCTCATACGCTGACTGGTCGTGGAGCGAGCTAACGGAGCTCGAGCAGAGGAGGGACGTATGCGAATCGCGCGGCTGGGCTCCCGTGGGGATACCGATGGCGCAGAGTGCGGGTGATGCTTGCTGATGGGATGAGAGATGGAGGGGGCACTTGGTAGGATGGATGGATGGATGGATGGATGGATTGGCGTGGCATGGGATTATGCCAATGTGAGAGATGAGAAGGGCGAGACGAGACATGGAGACCTATCGAAGAATGACGAAACCCAAGCCACGCTCAATTACATTACCGTCCATGCCATACCATGCCATACCATGAGGCATTGCGTCCACCGTCCGTCTTGCTCACTTCTCACGCACCCCGGCTGCGATGGGGATGCCTCTTGCCGCGTGGTTCTCGGTGGCTTCCTTGCATTCCTTGCACTCCCGGACGGTGGAGGCCCAGTTTTGGTTGTGGTAGGTATTCGCGGGTGAGGTAGGTAGCTGTCAAGTGCTTGTACCTTCCATTATGCTCCGCTACGTTACCTACGCCAGGTTGGTCCGTAGGTAGGTCGTAAGCATGCGAGGTCATCGGAGACGTTGCTGCGCAGAGACGAATGGACGATGAAGTGCGGATGAACGGTCGCCAAAGCAGAGGACGGGACGAGCGCTGCTGAGTGAGGTAAGGATCGGGTACCTGAGGTAAGGTAGGTAAGGTAGGTAAGGTAAGGCAGGTACTTACGATGGGTAGGTATTCGTAGGCAAGGGAGGGCAAGGCACGGGTAGAGAGAGGGAAGGACTGGACAAACTGCGTCGTCCCATCTTGGGCAGTGGGCCGGCGGCCGGGCGTTCTGTGGCTCTCACCCGTCCTTGCCTGCCTTCACCAGCGTCCGCTATTCCCACTTGGTGCAGCTACGGATACACTACGGACCAAGGTGCACTAGCAGAAGGGCTACCTTACCTTAGAAGGCGCACGAGGCAGGGGTACTGGGCAGGGGCTGCTGCGTGGACCGTGAGCCACTCTCCCCCACTGGGGAGGTACTTAACAAAATGCGAGGCACGAGGTACCTGCCTTCCTTACTAAAGTAAGTATCGGCTCCACTTTGTACCGCAGTGCTCCGTCCGCAACTCCGTACCTTCCCCGAATGACAATCAAAGACGGGCCTGAAGACGCGCAGAGTTCAGACAGGAAGAGACAGGCCCAGCTTCAACAACCCCAATCGCCCCCAGTGATTGAGGGGTTGCGGTCCCTTCCTCGACTCCCATAGGGCCATCGGTGCCCAATCCGCACTCCGTTGCGACTCATGAAGACTCGACCTTTGCGACTTTGCAACTGCCTCCACGAGCGAGCTGAGGTACTTCGCGAGAGAACACATCCACCCAACCTCGTCATCTGATGCTTTCTGATGCTCTGACCGACTATTCGTCATTGACTCGACTCGAATCGCTGTCCGTCCTCAACCGATACGAGATGACGAGAAGCGCGAATTAAACACCGTCAAGTACCTCATCCATGTCAGTTACTTTGACGCCAGACGACGACGCCCACAACTCGGCCCTCCTGTGTCCCCTCTACATAGTACTGCGTTACTCCCGACCTGCTCCAATTCAATTCCAAGATCCGAGCCGCGCCCGTTGCGCCCTAGCCTTGCCTTGTCTGCTTCCAACCAGCCAAGTACTTACATGCTATGGTTGCTGCTTTTCTCCGGTCCGTCAAACCTGTCAAGCGATCGACTGATACTTTGAGAAAGGGCTTTTCGACGACCTGACCCATCCTGGCAAGCCCAGGGTGGCCCCCCCCAGACGTCCCACCCTCCTCAGCCGTCCGAGAGAACCATTCAAACATTGGAGGGGCGTGAGGGGGGGTGTTTTGATAGACCTGGAACCTCTTGCGGATGCCGGCCGCTGCTTCACGCACTGCTATCGCTCTTCAAACTTCTGCCACTTCTTGTCAGCAGGAATCAAAATAGCGTACTATTTTGTCAGCCTCGGCCAAATCGACTCGTGCCTGCGAATCCAGCATAAACGGTCGCGGCAGTCCATGACGATCAATGCATATCGCGGCGGGGACGCCCTAACCTGGTCTGATTCCTTCATTCATCCCCATTCAATACACCAACCGA